GGGTGAAATCGAGGCACGCGCGCATACACACACACATAAGTCATCCTTTCCGATCATCCTTCCCTTTACAAATTTTGTTCTTGTTCTGGATTTTTTTTTTTTTTTTTTTTTTAAAGATACAATTCTGATCTCCATCTCACTTTGCCTGGTCTTTCGAAGCTAAACACCAAAATTAAAAGAAAAGATTCCTTTACGTATCCTTGTAGCTTCTTGCCGCTCAGGCTCGTCTTTGAGCCCAGAGACACTGCGTAGATTGGTGCTTTACTGCAGACCCGTGACAGGTGGGCTGCGGGGTGGGCAGCCTGACGGGAAGAGGAAACCAACCCCAGCAGGTGTTGACACGTTCCCCTTTACCCCTGTGTAAGTAATTGGTGGAACCAGCTTGTCTTGTGGACGTGAAGGATGAAATTAAATTATTCCATCACACAAATTTCTCGTGGAAGGCCGCCCTAAGAGAGCAACTACGTGATTAATTCAACCATGTAGATAGGCAATGTGTACCATCTCGTTAAAAAGCAGTTGAAAAACAAATGCTCTGTTCACTTATTGTAGGAATTATTTTTCTACTAAGGAGGGGGCTGCGTTAACAGAAACTCTACTCATAAACTCTGCCAACTCAGGCGAATGAAGTCAATCCGCCGGAGTCTTAGTCACCCAAGACGCTAGGTACCAATACCCCTCCGCTGAAGTCACACAGATGACAAACGCTACCTTCTGGGCTGACAAGGTTTGACAACGAAAACGGTTATTAACGCCGGATTATCTTTTCTACCCTTGGATTTTCTGATATGCGCAAACGAGGCCAAATGGAGGACTGACACAATTATCTAAATAGTTCAAAGACACTGCCCCCTCCATCGGACTTTACTTTGGTTTGTGAATTTTAGGCTACTGGGGAATTTTCAAGTGGCTTTCTCGGGACTGTAGCCTTAATAGTACACTTCGTTTCTCGATGCTGGACGGCCACGGACTTCCAGCTTCCCTGCTGGTATGCAGAGTCCCGGGATCTCTGCACTGTATGCAGTATGAGACGACCCTTCCCTCATTTTCTAATGCCTCTCTTTCCTGTTTCCCGCAGCTCCCGGGCCGGCCGCGGTTCCGGGAGACGGCGCACGGGCGTCCTAGCCCCCGACGGGCCAGACTTCCAGGTCTGAACTGAGAGCCAAGGGCGCGGATAAGTCGGCAGCGGTAACAGGGAAACATGCAGGAAGGTTCCCGAGGGGTCTCTGACACGCAAGACAATCTGCCCACCCTGGGCTAGGCTCAAGTGGCTCAGGAGTCATTTCCTGGACCCGGAGCCCCATGCCGCCGCCCCATTCCCTCTACTTGACCTGAAAAATGAAACACGCACACGCACACGCACACACACACACATTCCTGAGGTGTCACAACGTCCCGAATCCGGGCATTTTCTGCAGTGATCGTCACATCTCCCTTCCTTGTCCTTTCTTTACAGTAGGGGCGCGGGCGCGGGCGCGGGAGACCTTGTTTTAAACATCCCGGTGACGTCACGCCCCCTCCTAAATAAGGACCCACCGGTGGGCCCCGGGATTTGGAACCTGGTCTGGCTGGTCAGGGACTGGATGGGGAGGGGGTGCGGACCGAGCGACCTTTCCACCAAAGATCCATTACCGCTGTCGCCTGTGGGGCCTCCAGGCTGCAAGTACAGAAAGTCGTCGGGTTGGCAGTGGAGGACTTCCTGCTCGGGTATTTCTACCCATTGAGTCAAAGATTGTAAAGGGAGAAGTCTGATTGAGCTACCAGGTAGAGCAGCAAAGGAGGGGCATCGAAAACTTTAACCTAAAAATAAAAGACTCTAATTCGTCCCCCAAAGACATTACGTTTTTGTCTTAATGTTCAAATAACACCCCCACTAACAATAGTTAAGTGCCTGAAATCAAGCGGTTTACAGAGGTTTCCTTCCGAGTCAGCTTATAAAACACAAATGCAAATATCTTTTCCTGGAGAACATCCAGCGCTAAACCAGTGGAAAGCTGATCTTTATAAAACTGCACCCACCGTTTTTTTCCCCCTGCTTGCCAGATTCTATTTCACAACGGCGACTTTTATGCCCAAAGCAGAAAACCAAGGATGTCGCTGTTTTAGATTCGCAATTTGCATAACAAGCTGTTTTACACTTTACTGGGCTGGCGGGCTGGGACGGGGGGAAGGGAGGAGAGGAGACGGTGGGTGGGGAAGGGGCACAGCGGAGCACAACTATCTATGGGCCCTCTGGCATTTCCCGCATTAGGAAAACAAACCAGTAGCTATCACTACATCTAACTCTGCGCCCTGAGAGTGGTGGAAACGCAATTTAAAGACCGAATTCACCAAATGCCAACGTGTATAGGGAGACCATTTACTAAATTGTCCCCCAGGCTGGAGCGAGAGAGTCTTATAAAGCCTTGGCCAAGGGAGCTGATGAACAGGCGGTCGAGCAGAAGGGTGGGAGTTGGATAACAATTCGGTTTTCAAATCAGGGGGTTTTCCTCTACCCTCCCCCAAATGTTTTTAGGACCCACCAAATACTGAGCCTCCTATTGACTGACAGACCTGGGAGTTCTCCCAATCTATCAGTGACTAGTACTTGCCAACACTTTGGAAAGGAGTAGCAAACGACCCAAGTGCGATGCATGGCCAGGAAGCGGCTGCCCCAGGATTTGGAACTTCCGGGCAAGCCCCCACGGCCTAAGGCGAATTCTAGATTTAGCAGGTCCCTTTCTTCCCTAGCTGTGAATCTGAAATACGCGATTTTTTTTTTTTTTTTTTTAATGTTCAAGTGACCTGGAGCGGTGCCTGCCACACCAAGGCTGCAATTTAAATTTAGTGAAGAAGTGAGGAAGTTGGGATTCGAGCCGGGAAGCCAAAGGGGCTCCCAACACGTCCTAGGAGTTAAAGATTGTCAGAAATTGTGGGAGCGGAGGTGTTAAACGCGTCACGCACACGTTGCCACACTCTCCCAAACTCGCCTCTTTCCCGGGCTCTAGCAAAGGATCAAATGTTTCGTCTCCTGGAGGGTCTTTTGTAGAGTTGCCGAAGTGCAGACTCGCACTGGAGTAGAGGGAGGCCTGTCTCTGTCTTTCTCCTTCGTTTCTTTGCCTCTCATTTCTCTTCTTGCCATCATGAAGTAATCTCTTGTCCTCCAGGAGCTGCAAATGTCACGCATATGCACAAGAGAGTCCTTCTGTGCTTTTCCTCTCCAATCCCCGAGTCGCCCTGCAGGTGTGATTCTGAACACACACAACCCCCAACACACTCGTTATCTCTGCGAACCGGCAGCCCCGCGCGTGGAGATCGAGAGTGACCCGGAGAAACATTGAGCTCTTGAACGTAATTATTTGCTTCTTGTCATCACACCTGCTAATGTCCTTGAGCCCTCAGCCTGACCCCTCCTCTGTGCCAAAGCTTGCAGAGCCAAACAACGGGTGTTGGTGGGAGGCGAGCCTGTCACAACCCTGCTCTAGCAAGCAGCTGCAGAGCAGGGAGCCGCAGGGCGACAATAGCCTGGGCCACCCGCACCCTCGAGCAACCGAGGGGCCTGCAAGCCAAAGAACCAGGCGGCCCGTGGTAGGGCCGACCAGCCTTTCTGGGCGAAGGACCTTCCCCAAGCTCCTGGCAGGGCCCTCTTGCCCTTTTTCCTTATTGTGACCGGAGATGGGTCATTGGGGTGTGAGATGACTGTGACAACTCCTTCTCCACTGGGAAGGGTGCACGGCTTTGACTGTGTTCCTAAAATCATGCCCTTTGTGACCAAAGTCAGGAAGAAGAATCCACAAGTGGGGGAAACCGGAGATATCTGAACCAAGTGTGAGAAAGGCGATCGGGTGGGGACCAAAGGGATGGAGGCGGAGAGAGGAAAGGATAAGGGGCTTTGGCAGGGGTGGGAGGAGTGAGGCCTGGGCAACCCGGCGCTGGCGACCGCCAGATCTGCGAAGGACTGTGTAAAAGCCAATGCGAGCGGCTGAGGGCTAACGAAGTGGCCACGGGAGAGCAAGTGGCCCAAGGAAGTGTTTGTTTGGGGACAACGAGGGACCCAGGAAGTCTGCGGGAACAATGTAAGTCTGCAAGTAGAATGCAGAAAGCGCGGTCGCCCGCGCGGGACCTGGGAGAGGTGCGGACCCGCAGCAAGAGGCTGCCGGCAAGCGGGGCACGGGAGGGAGGGGCGCACGGCGCGGGAGGCCAGCGCGGCGCCCTGCTCCCGCGCGAGGCGCGCCGGACCTTTCGCTCGGGCTCATTCACGGCGGCTCTAGCCTCCTATTGGCTGCTGCCGCCGCGGGGGGCGGGGCGCCGCTGCCCGGAAAAAATGTAACTGCGTAAAAAAGTCCTCCTTGTGTGACGGATGCTCAAAAGTTCAGGAGTGTTCCCGATGCTGCCTTGAGCGGCCCGCGCGAGAGCCTGCGCTCGCTGGCGGCAGGGAGGGTGGCGCGCCACCCCGCCTCCGCGCAGCTGTCCGAGGTCTTTGCCTTGGTTCCTCATAACTTGCTGCAGATACTGAGAAGGCGCAAGCGGGTCGAGGAGGGCGCCGGTATTTCTTCGCCTCGGCTTTCTTTCCAGTCCACGCCTGGAAGTGACTTCGCGAGTTCCTCCCCAGCCAATCCTGTGTCCTCGGCCGCACTCTCTCCTGGGCCAACCCTCCTCCGCGGCAGGCGCGGGGCCCCGAAGTGGCCAGAGGCGGCCCTGAGGAGCCCGGAGTAAGCGGAGTTAGAGGCCCGCGCGAGCCGCCGGCGGCTGAGGGCGGAGGGCCCGGGAGCCAGCGCCCCGCAGGGCCCGGGACTCGGACTGGGCGGCCCGGTGCCTGGCGAGGGTGGGGGGCGGCGGGCGGCGGGCGGCGGCGAGTGGGGCTC